CCGCACTCATAAATAAATTAAAGGTTTGTGGCACACTCATATATACTCCATCGTATGTATATTTAAGCACACATGCATGGTATTAGAATGTATTAGGGTTTTGTGTTATTGGGCTTGTTAGTATTGAGTCTATGGTTAAGTCGTGGTCTTGTAGCATGTTTATGTTCAAATGTTCAATTTTTTATATATAAAAAGGAGACTCCATTCTTTAAGAAGTTGACATTTGACATATTCAACGCTTGACATGTGGCATATTAAAAACTTGACATGTGGCATATTAGGTGGTAATTTAACCAAATTTACTCTCTTTCATTATTTCACATTTTTACTCTTTTTTCAAAAATGATATGGAGTAATTACTTATTTTGAACCCATGAATTCAAAATTAGAATTAAAATTATTTTCCGTGTAAATTATTACTTTTAATAAAATATCATTTTTAAGGACTCTACGTACAGATATTTTTAATACTTGTCTCGGATTTGTTAAATCATAAAATTTACAAAATATTTTTAGAATAATAAATAAAATACACTCCTCATTTATAAATAAATTTTATATTTATTCATTATACATTTACATGATATTCCTTGGATTGTATTTATTTAAATATTGACACCTATTAAATAAAATATTTCCTTTACCTATAAATAAATTTTATATTTTATGAAACTTAATGTGTCAATTAATTATGTGTATAGAAAATGCGAATTCAATGTTTTGGAATAAAATCTTTGAATAAATTTAATTCAAATATTGTTTTCTTAAAAAATGAAATAATAGAAGATATTTAAATATTTTTTAAAAATTAAAAATGTATACTATGTATATTAAAAGGCAAAAAGTTTACAAATTGATAAATAATGGATTTGTATTATGTGTAATAAGTTAATTATTAATTACTTTTTACAATCGAATAATTTATGGTATAATATTAATTGTTATAAATACAATTATGGTAAAGTAATATTTTTAAATACTAATTGTTATATTCTTGGTTAAAAATTAATTGTTATATTCTTAAATATTACATGGTTTATTTATGAAAAAGTATATAGAATTTGGAAATTATAACAAGCTATTATTGGATAAATAATATAAAATGTTTAATATTTACAAATTTAAAGGCAAAAAAGTCATACATGGTGTGTAATGTCTTTAAAGGCAAAAAGTACTGCTTTGTTACTAACTCTCAATTTTTTATTTGAAAAACTATCATGTATAAAAAATATATTTATAACACATGCCAAAAAGAATCATGAAAGACCATTAATAAGCCGACTACAGTATGTAGCAACGAGAACCAAAGAGTTCTGAGAGCTTAGAGATAGTAAATAATGTTCTTTATAACTCATTCGAGGAAGCATGCGATGCATTGGGATTATTAACCGATGATAAAGAATTTATTGAAGGTATAAATGAGGCTGTCTTATTAGAATATGGAATTAATTAAGAAGGTTGTTCGTCACATCATTAGTGACAAATATCATGAGCCACCCACAAATTGTTTGAAAAAAATCATGAGAACTTCTGATAGATGGAATTTTATTTGATCAAAAGAAAATATTGCGTAGTCAAGGTATTTAAATAGAAAAATAGTTTTTTAAACATATTAATCCATATGTAACATGTTTTGTTGAAATCAAACATTTTAATGGACTAATTAAGTCACATTATTTCTATTTTTTTCTGAGCATATAGTTTCCGGAAAAGATCTAATAAATTTATGTCTAATTGAGATTGAAAAGTTGCCTAATTCAAATGGATAGTCTTTAATGGAATTTAGTGGATGTCATTTCTACATGATAGTTCACTTAATAGATTTTAAAATAATTTCTTGGTATAAGAATTAACTATGATAAAGAAAGTCATCTGATCTTATGAAGTACTTATTTACGGTGAATGAAGATCAGTAGAAAATATACAATGAAATAATAAAAATTGTGACAACTGAAAGAGAAGGGTTTTTTTTGTAAATGGATACGGTGGAAATAGAAAAAAATTTCTATGAAAATCATTGTCTGTTTCTTTAAGGTCAAATGATAAGGTTGTCTTGAATGATGATCGAGTGGAATTGCAACATTGCTTTTGCCTGGGGAAGGACAATACACTTGAGATTTTTAATCCTTCTAGCACTAACCAAGTGCTCAATGTGTGCCATCAAACAAAGAAGCCTGAAAGCAGAATTAATCCAACAAGCAAGTCTAATAATATGAGATGAAATATGTATAATGAACATATTTGTTTTTGAGGTATTGAATCACTCAATGAGAGATGTAATGAGTTTCTCAAATAAAAATTAAAGAAATGAACCATTCGTAGGGAAAAAAGTTGTACTTGAGGTGATTTTCGTAAAGTTCTTCCTGTTCTACCTAGAGTTTCAAGAGAATAAATTTTAGGTACTACCATCAATTCTTCATAAATATGGTCGTATTGTAAACATTATACGTTGAAGAAGAATATGTGATTGTATTCGTCGACTTCCTCTTGCGCAAATAGGTACACACAAGCCCTTTCTAATTGGATAATCAACGTTGGAGATAGAAATCTTGGACAAGTGATTGATGGAACAACTGACGTTGAAATTCTGCCCGAATTGATGATTCTAGACACAAGTTAACCCCTCAAGATTATAGTAGATTTCACTTATCCGGGCATATTGGATACTATGAAAAGTTATTCTTTTTTTGAGGATAGGACACTACTGGAACCCATCCTTGAGGTTATAGAAATGGTAAATGAATGTCATATCCCTCATTCCCAAAGATGAAATGGTGTATTCAAGTTCTGATTCTTCATGCCAGGCAGGTTCAAATGTAGGTGTTGGTGGCGATTAGATAACAGTTGAGTTTTTGAATAAATCAAATGTTCGAAGATCCCAAATCACAAAAATAATTTTTAAAAAGGGGGTACCAGCAGTTATATTATTGGGGAACATTGACCAAACATATGGATTATGTAATGATATAAGATTAATCATTGGAGAGCTGTTTAATTTGGTCCCCATGTGCTTGCTATTTGTGTCAGAATTGATTGGTGGGTTGTCTTTCATAGGTGATTGATGAGCTTCAACAATTTCTTGCCCTTGTTTGTTTGGTTTTGCTTTGTTTTTGCTACAAGGAAGAAAGCTTTAATTTCATGTTCAAACCGAGTCCGTTTTGATGATGTTTTGATGATATAGTATTTGGTTGTTTGACTTGTTTGGTATGTTCAATTGCAACTTGTCGTACGTACATCATGTTAGTTTGTGGGGTCGATTGTCGAACCTCAGTCCGACAATATTCTTTCCATTTGTTAGTCGTCCCGGATAGGAGTCATCGTCCTCAATTTTTGGTTGTTCGTGTGCTTGCCAGACGTCTTCGTACGTTGCAGCATCAAATCAAGTCTAGTTTATTTTTTCTATAGTTTTATTTATTTTTATTATCCAAGTTTCATTCCTGATCCTCATTCTAAACTTGAGGAAAAGTATTAGAATGTATTATGATTTTGTGATATTGGACTTGTTAGTACTTGGCTTGCACTTAGGTCGTAGTCTTGTAGCTATTATAAATAGCATATTTATCTTCAAGAAAATCATCAAGTTCAGTTTTAATAATGTTTCTACACATGGCCTAGTTACGTACATACGAGGATAGATGAAACTAACAAATGAAAGACATACACACACACACACATACATACATACAAACATAGATACAAACATACATACACACACACACACACACACACTGGCACACACACACACACACACATACTCGTAATTGATAGGAAGCAAAGTACACCGAACACGTAAATAAGTTAAAGGATTGAGCAGGAAGAACAGCAGGCGGCGCCAGGTTTGACGCAGTAGTATACGAACAAGTATGCATCATAATCCTTGCCTTCTATGTTATAAAAATTTTCCAGCAATCCTTCATTCTTGAATGACATTTTCTGGTAAAAGGACGTAGCCTCTTGATTGTAAGAGATCACATGCAGATACACTGCCTGGCAGGTTGGGATTTTCGACGCATACTCTATGGCCTCACGGATGAGACTGCTCGCTGAAATAACGTATGTATGTTTAATATTAGCATGCATGCAGCTTTTTGAACTCTTTCTTTCTTGTTTTTTTTTTAAATGAAAAAATAATGCCATATCTCACCTATTCCATGTCTTCTATAAGTTTCTATGACTCCAATTGTGGATATATAAAGTACACCCAGCTTTGGTCCAAGCTTCAAATTAGCCAGCTGTACGTACGTATAACACAGAGATCACCCACAGCACAATACAGTCCAACAAATGTTAGAGATAGAAGAAGGAAACGGGATTGAAGAAGGAAAGTGTGAGAGACAGAATAAAGAAGCAGGATTGAAGAAGGAAACCGAATCCCTTTAGGATTAGGTTTAGTATCTTTCGTAGTTGGATTATGTTTAGTATTTAATATCTTTCCTTGTTTGTTTAATTCTTATTTTAGTAGGAATAGGAATTTCCTTATTTACTTTAATTTACCCTCTTCCTATATAAAGAGGGTTAGATCTTTGTATTCAAGGCAAGAGTTTCACAACAGAGAAATACAGATAATTTCCTCCCAAATAATTCTTTCATGGTATCGGAGCCAATTTTGAATTCTTGAGACCTCAAAAGAGCTTCTTCCCCTGCCGGTGGGCATACACAATTCAATGCCTACCGGCGGGATATTGTGATTTTCTTTATTTTTTTATTGTCCTCCCTCATTCTTGAAGAAGTGGTCGGACAAGGGTTGTTCTACAGAGACAAACAACTCTTTCCGTGTCTACTATTCATGATCGACCGGCATCGCGTCCACCGATCGTCGCCTGTTGTTGCTGCTGAAGTGCCAGAACGGTCGACCGTTGCTGAAGAACGGTCGAGTGGGTCGACCGTCCCGACGGAAGTTTCTCTTGATCGCGGTTACTGTTCACGATCGCCCGGCATCGCGTCCATCGGTCGTTGCTCAGTTTTTGTGGGTTGGAGCAGTTCCCAATTTGTATGTGTAGGAATTGCACGTGGGACCTGCTCGAGAAGCTTGCGCAGATGCGCGAATTGAGGAAACGTTTCTTGCAGGTTTGGAGCAATTCCCAATTTGTACGTGTAGGAATTGCACGTGGGACCTTCCGGAGAAGCTTGCGCAGATGCGCGAACCGAGGGAACGTTTCTTGCAGGTTTGGAGCAGTTCCCAAGTTGTACGTGTAGGAATTGCACGTGGGACCTGCCGGAGAAACTTGCACGAATCGAGGGAACGTTTTTTTTATGTCCAAGCTGTGCATGTTGAACTCCCATGCTCCAGCTTGAGGGGGGGGTGTTAGAGATAGAAGAAGGAAACGGGATTGAAGAAGGAAAGTGTGAGAGACAGAATAAAGAAGCAGGATTGAAGAAGGAAACCGAATCCCTTTGGGATTATGTTTAGTATCTTTCCTAGTTGGATTATGTTTAGTATTTAATATCTTTCCTAGTTTGTTTAATTCTTAATTTAGTAGGAATATGAATTTCCTTATTTACTTTACCCTCTTCCTATATAAAGAGGGTTAGATCTTTGTATTCAAGACAATAGTTTCACAAGAGAGAAATACAGAGAATTTCCTCCCAAATAATTCTTTCAACAAATAAACAAACAGGTTAAAGTTCATTGCAGGAATACCTCCATGGTTTTGTAAATATGGACCGTTACCGTGTATAATTTCAAAACTTACATCGTTACTTGTAAATATGGACCGTTACCGTGTATAATTTCAAAACTTACATCGTTACATCTCTTGGACCTTGGTCCACATAGTCTTATGGTAACACCCATTTACACTAAAATACCTTTCTATTCTTAGGCAAATAACTCTCCTGCGCCCCAGTGGTTTTGAAAATGGACACCAACGCCCCATTTCTTCTTTTTTTTCATTTGTCAAGAAACCAATTCAACCAAAAGCTCAAGCTTGTGGGTGTGGCACAGGAATGATNCCCCCCCCCCCCCCCACGTGCAGGCGTGACTTCTTTGAGCCTTGCACGTGAAACTTCAATTTTTTTAAAACTGGGTGGTGGTGAGTTTCGAACTCGTGACCTCTTGGTCATCAAGGCTCCGATACCATGTCAAGAAACTAATTCAACCAAAAGCTCAAGCTTGTGGTTGTGGCACAGGAATGATTGTAATATACTCTAACAATTATTTTATTTTTTCCTCTATTTTTTTCAGTGGTTTTGAAAATTCCTTTTTTTCATTATTAAAAAATAGTATATGAAAAGAGAACTATATGAAAAAATGCTTTTATAGAAAAGGCAATATTAACTAAATGCTAAAAAGACTTTGTTCTGCATTTTTTATGCCAATAGATTCAGAAAAAACAAGAATACTTTTTTGCAAAAAAGGAAAGTATTAAATTTGAGAAAAATAAAGTACCACATATATGTTAAAGTTTTTATTTCATTTCTTATTTCAAACACAAATAATTTTTATTTTTTAAAACATATATCCCTCCGTCTCTGAGTATTTGTCCACATTTGACTTTTTTCAGTCAAAATTGGTAAATTTTAACCTCAAATTAAATAAAAATGGTATTATATATTGATACAAAAATATTTTTTATTAGATTTATTATATTAAATATTTTCAAAATATTATTTTATCTAATTAATATGCAATATACTCCCTCCGTCCTATATCTATCTTTCCGGTTTGACTTTAGCTCAATTTTAAGGAATGAGTAAATATAAAACTTGGAGAGCAAGAGCCCAGCTCCCTCTTTCTGGCGATTGCGCGATGTAATTAGCCGCCAGCGGCGACGATAATGATTCAACGACGGCGGCTCAATTATTGCTCGATGACGGAAGCGGTAGTGAAAAAAGCCGACTCCATCTCTTTTTAAATATCTTCTCCCATCAATTTGAAGAAATTGAAAAAAAGTTTAAAAAAAAACCAAACTAAAAGGAACTCACCCTTTCATCCCTGTGATGAAGAAAAAAAGAAAAAAGAAATAGGAACTCCCGTTCTTTCACTCTGTGCGCGACGACGTGGACGGCGTTAATTGATTCGAAGCTTTAGTGTCGGAAGAATCCGAATGGAATTCAGAAACTTCTGAAAAACGAAATAGGAAATCAAGTTGGGCTCCTGTAAATTGAAAAAAGAAATATGAACTCAAGCTACTGCTCGCTCGCGAGACGTGGACGGCGGCAATCGGAAAAACAGAGAAAAGAGAAGTCCAGGTAGATTGAGAGGCGTCGAAGAGTAGCGAGGAAGAGTAGATCTAGGTTTTGCTTTGAGGGAAGAGATGTAAATGTGGAGTAGTGGGAAAGAGGGGTATGTCTGTCACTTTGCACCTTTTTTGGAAATGAGAAGATAGTTTTAGGACATGAAAAAATGAGAAGTGGGAAGATGTTTTAGGACATAGGGAGTATATTTTAATTAATTATAGGTCAAATGTTAAAAATAGTTGACCAAAAAAAATCAAAATTGGACAAATACTCAGGGAGGGATGTAGTAAGAAAATAGTTTTGATAAATAACTTACATACATTTTTATATAAAAAAGCGAAGAAAAAAGAAAAAATAAAGAAAAAAAAGGAGGATGATGTTGGTGCCCATTTTCAAAACCATAAGAGGTAGCGAAACTATTCAATGGGGGATCCAGGGATTCAACCAGATGGGGGCATGGGCACTTGGCAAAAATTGATCCGGCCTTTTTTTGACCCGAGACCCGATCAAAAAATATTGGGTTTTGAATAAAGATTTTGTTGATCGAAACTGAAGATGACCGAACTCGAAATGACCCGCTAAAAATGGGTCAAACCCGACCAAACCTTAACCTGACCTCACCCAGCCTCTAATGAATTAATTTCTCAAAATTATGTATTTTAATATGGAAAATAATGTAATAAAATAAGACTATGTTTTTATTTTTTTCTTATCACTCATTTTTAGTGTATAAACGTATATTTTGATACAAGTTTTAAAAGATATCACATTGTTATCTTATATTTTTTGAAAAGTGTTTCATTTTTAATTTTTTTTACTATTCATTACATTCTTAAACATATCTTAAAAGGAATTAAAAATTCAAAATAAATATACTAAAATATTTAATATACTCCGTATGTATTTTGGTATTTATTATTTTTTAGTCCCAAATGCAAGGGGTAAATTTCACCCGTGGTGTACGAACTTTCATCATTATTTCACTTCGGTATATAAACTTTAATTTCTATCACAAAAGTACACGAACTTTCAACATTTTTTCACCGGTGGTCCAATAGGCGGTTTCTAAGTCACCTTTAGGTCATTTGGGATCAAATTATAATTTTTATAAATTTAAATTTTTTATTTTGACCCGACTCTTCCCTCCCTTTACACTCTTCCTCTTTCCCAGCCAGTCCCCCCATACCCCCACGCACCCATTCTTTTTCCTTCTTCTTCTTCTTCTTCTTCTTCTTCTTTATTTAATTTAAATTTAAATAAAAATAGACAAATTATTCAATAAGCAACACAATTCAATAAAAAATAAGCAACACAATTGCTAGCTGATCTGAACAATCCACGATCCAAACAGCACGAACTGCGGCCTCAGTGGCCTCACCATTTGCGTCGAAGGCGGCGAAGCTTCGCCGAGTGGGGGAATCGTCGCAGCCACCGTTGGCGACGGAGCAATTAGTCTGGCGTCATATAGTAAGCTGGTGGATTTTTCGTTGAAGATTGGAAATTGAGTGCCAATTTAAGCTTTGGTGTTCACTTGGTTTTTCTCTATGTGAAATTTGCACTGAATATGACTAAAACATAAGTCATTTCCCAATGTAGGATTTCAACTTTTTTATTCCCTAAATAGGACTTACACTACAAGAAATTGCCAAAACTGCAACGAAAATCTGCTACGGAACAATTTGTTGTCGCAGATCTGCGAGAAATCTGCGACGGGTGCAGGTCAATTTGGTAACGTAGAAAATATCTGCGACGGAAACCAAATTCCGTCGCAATGTTTTGGCGCTAAACTAAAAGTTTCTGCCGCCAACAAAATCAGCGACGAAATCTTTTTCTCCGTTGCAGACTTGCAACGGTAAGCAGTGACGGAGAGCTTTCCATTAGGGCTGTTCATCGGTCTAAGACCGGACCGAACCGGACCGACCTGGACCGGACCGAAGATCGATATGAGTAAATTCAAGGACCGAAGACCAGACCTAAATCTACTCGGGTTTGGACCTGACCGGACCGAAATATTTAGGACCGAATCGGTCCGGACCGATTGGACCAAAAAAATACATATTTTTTTAATTATTTTGATCAATTAAATATATTTTAGACTTTTTACTTTGTACCTTTCAAATAGAAAATGAATAAAAAAATATGCAACCTTAAAATAGATACACAATATGAACTACTTCAATGTAGAACCATAAAAACAAATATGAAACGTTTTTTTAGATTTTTTTAAAAATTACTTAATAAAAAACCTTTTTAATTAAATAAATTAAAATATCTATTAAAATAAAGCATTAAAGTGTAATACGGAACTTAAAAAGTAGAGTTCTAGTATTTAGGTCTTTTAGGTCCAGTAGGGTCATTAGGTCCAATCGGTCCGGACCTAAATCATTTCGGGTTTGGACCGGACCGGACCAAAACCCGAATGCATAAGTTTTCTGGACCGAAGACCGACCCGAAATCCATTCGGTCCGGGTTCGGTCTGGACCTAACGGTCCGGTTCGGTCGGTTTTTTCGGTCCGGACCTAAATGTGAACAACCCTACTTTCCATCGCAGGCTTCAGTTTAAAAAGTCTCATCCTTCTCCACTTACGGGACAACCACACAAACACAAACCCTTGCTTACGCCGGAACCCACGCTGCCCTTCATCGCCAAAGCTCACGCCGCCGGATCTCCGCCTCCTTCACCGCCGGTTATCCGCTTCGGCCTCCTCCTCCCAAGGTCGGCCTCCTCCTCCAGCGCTTCTCCGCTGTCGTCCGCCAGCACCGTCGTTCGTCAGCCGCCGTCCTCTGTCAGCCTCTACTTGACGGCCTTCTCCTCCTCCTCCCCCACCAGCCGCCGTCCTCCTCCTCCTCCACCAAGGTTTTTTAATTTGTTTACCATTTTTTTTGGATGAAATTGATATTTTTGTGAAACTGATAAGATTTTAGGTTAAATTGAATTAAAATTATATGAATTTGCTTTAATAATGGTTGAAATTGGCATGAAATTAGCTAAAAATATTTTTTGTTGTGAAATTAAGAGCTTTTTAGGGGAATTAGAGTTGAAATTGTGTGAAATTATTATGGTATTTAGATTTACATGATTATTGTTTGTGGTTAGACATTGTTATTTGTTGGACTTTATTTTTGATATTATTTTTTTGTAAAATATTGTGGTTGATATTCATGATTAGAGATTGTTGGTTATTGTGTTTCAATTATTACCAAGGATTTTGTATGTTTACTTAGTTGATGGGAAATCTCATGTTTATTTAGTATGGTTAAAGTTTCTTGCTTGATGACTTTCAATTGATAGGCATTGTTAATATTAGTCTTCCATTCGAAGATCATGACTTGATGTATAACAAGTACGAGAGAGAAGGTCTTGTTAATGAATTATGGAAAGATAATGTTGAAGGGTTCGTAAAGTATTGTGTGTCAAGTCCGAATGTGTATAAGATGCCGGATAAGAAAATATGTTGCCCATGCACGAAGTGTAAGAATGTTACGTTTAGATCATCAGCAAGGATGCTAGAGCACATACTCCGGTTTGGATTCACACCAAATTACCACGATTGGGTATGTCACGGTGAGAATCACGGTGATTGGGTTCCCCCGCCAACGATGTAAAGTTGCTCGTCATGCCAATGCCACTAACGTGTTTGATCAGACAGGTAGAGAACAATATGCAGACATGGTATTTGATGGTGTCGGCCCGTCTCGGTTTAACTCTATTGTTGAGGAAGAGCCAAATCCGAGCGATAAGAAATTTATTGAAATGTTGAAAGCCGCTGATACCGATCTGTGGAAAGGATGTAATAAGATGTCCAAGCTGTCTGCAGTTGCACGTTTGTTAAATATCAAGTCTGAACATAACTTATTTGAGCGATGGATTTTATCTACCTGAAGACAACACAATGGTGGATGGATTTTATCAAACAAAAAAGCTAATTGAAGATCTTGGTCTCCCCGTCCAGAAGATTCATTGTTGCATTCTTGGGTGCATGTTATATTGGGGAGATGACGAAAGTCTCACACAGTGCAAGGTTTGCAACAAGCCGCGTTATAAAGACGAGAAGTCTAAGATTCCAAATAGACAGATGTTTTACTTTCCGCTAACACCTAGGTTGAAACGCCTATATATGTCTAAACGTACAGCAAGTGCAATGAGGTGGCATGCCGATCATCGACACACAAACGAGGATGAAATGTGTCACCCTTGCGATTCTGAAGCATGGAAAAAGTTTGATGCTCAACATTCTACCTTTGCGTCAGAGGTACGCAACGTGCGCCTTGGACTTTGCACAATTGGGTTCTAACCGTTTGGTCAGTCTGGGTCACAATATTCATGTTGGTGACAATCTTCCGCCTGATATGTGCATGAAAGAAGAACACATATTCTTGTCACTAATTGTGCCTGGGAGGTCTAACCCAAAACAAAAGATTGACATGTACTTGCAGCCACTAATCGCAGAGCTAAAGAGTCTTTGGAGGGAGGGCGTGGACACCTATGATGTTTCGTTAAAACAAAACTTCAAAATGCATGCTGCACTCATGTGGACAATTGGCGATCTCCCCGCGTACGCCATGATGTCGGGATGGAGCACAGTAGGAAAGACAGCATGTCCTATCTGTATGGATCAAGTCGTGTCATTCAGGTTGCCTAATGGGGGAAAACAGTCATGGTTTGACACACATCGACGTTTTCTTCCAAGAGACCATTCCTTTTGAAGGAATAAGAAAAAGTTCATCAAAAATCAAATCGAGACGAAGTCACCACCGATTCGGAAGAGTGGGAAGGATATTAGGCATAAGATTGAATCTTTAGGCCTGAGGAAGATAGTAGACTTAGATGGCGATGCCATTAACTCTGACATTGTGAAGAATACCTCATGCGGTTGGAGGAAAATGAGCATCTTTTGGGATTTACCATATTGGGAGACGAATATGATACGCCATAATCTTGATGTTATGCATATTGAGAAAAATGTTTTTGAGAATGTTTTTAACACTGTTATGGATGTACAGGGCAAGACGAAAGACAATGCAAAGGCAAGGGAAGATATTTCTTTGTTTTGTTCTAGAAAGGAGTTGGAGCGTAACCCTCAAACAGGAAAGTACCCAAAAGCTTGCTACACTTTGGATAAAGCCCAACGACAAGCATTTCTTGATTGGGTGAAGGAATTGAAATTTCCAGATGGGTATGTCTCGAATTTGGGGAGATGCGTGGACCCAACTAAGCTGAGGACGTTAGGCATGAAAAGTCATGATTGTCATGTGTTCATGCAAAGACTAATACCCATTGGATTCAAGGAGTTACTTCCAAGAGTTGTATGGGAAGCAATTACTGAGCTAAGCAACTACTTCAAGAGGTTAACATGCAAGACTCTATCCATACAGGACCTTACCAAATTAGAGGGTGATATCCCAGTTATTATATGCAAACTAGAAGCAATTTTTCCACCTGGTTTTTTTAATAGTATGGAGCATCTTCCTATTCACTTACCTTACGAGACGAGAGTTGGTGGCCCCGTTCAGTTCCGGTGGATGTATCCTTTTGAGAGGTAATTTAGACGATATTAATTTGTGTTTTTCATAGTTAATTGAAGATATGTATGTAAACGTTGTCTTTCACGGAAATGTAGGTACCTTAATCGCCTAAAGAAAATGGTGAAAAACAAGGCTCGTGTCGAAGGATCAATTGCTAATGCATATCTAGTAAGAGAGTTGTCTTACTTCTGTTCCCATTATTTGGAAGAGCATGTGTATACTCGAGGTAGAAATGTGCCTCGTAATGATCCTGAGCCGCGGGTGAGTGGGGAGGAAACAAGTGAAGAGATTTTTTCAATTTTTAGGACGCCTGGACGTTTACAAGGGAAAATGCATAATAGGCGGTTGACTCTGGATGAGGAAAAAGCCACACACCAATACGTCCTCTTTAACAGCCCTGAGATTGATCCTTACATTACGTAAGTATTTTAAGTCTTATAATTACTATGAATCTTGGTTTGTACAAACACGTAGGAATATTCAAGAAATAACTCCTCAGGTTATACTCAAATGAGATTAGAGAAGCTGATCCAAGAATAAGTGATGAATCTTTGTTGAAGCGCGTGGAAGAGATGTTTGCAGATTGGTTTTTAAAATATGTAATGTCTTGTTTCTATCGATTTATATTTAAGTACACATATTCCCTCTATTTTTAATAATATGTAAGTGGTATCATATTTCCAATTTTTTTTAAATACAAGCCGAAAGTGACAAGTCTGTACCTGAAAAAATTAGAGATGTAGCGAGAGGGCCCTTACCCAATGTCAAGTGTTACCCCATTTATTTTGTTAATAGATATCGATTCCATACATCGACACATGGGTCAAATCGTGCAACGTACAACAGTGGGGTGTGTATAACAGGAGATTACGGGGATTATTATGGAGTATTGGAGGAAATACTAGAAGTTGAATATCCAGCGTTGCCGCTAAAACGCTGTGTCTTGTTTAGGTGTCGATGGTTTGACCCTTTCTTGAATCATGGGACGAAGGTGCATGATAAGTATGGCCTTGTTGGGGTGCTTAAAAAAGGAGAGTTTAATCGCTATGAATCTTTCATTTTTGGATCACAAGCTAATCAAGTGGTCTATGTTGAATACACATGCACACAAAAGAGTAAGAGTAAGTGGGTGGCAGTGTGCAAAGTGCAACAAAGGGGGTGGATAGACATTGAAAATTCCATTGAACCAAATGAAAATGTGCATCAAGAACCTTTTCAAGCAAATGAGACCGAGAGAACTAGTATAGTAGAAGTCGAACATAACAATGATGAAACAATAGTTCTATCAGTTGATGGAGATGCCAATTTTTCCGTTGATGAATTACACACCGAAGAAGAGGAGGAGCCAATTCTAAGCTCTGACACTTCGGAAGAAGAAATTGAAGAGAGTTCAAATAGCGAGTCCTTTGAATGAGTAGTCAACATGGTTTGCCATTGTTATATTACTTTTTCTTATATGTAATTCATTTATCTTTATTCTTTTAGATTGTTTTATACTCTCTCCGTCCCAAAAAGATTTACACCTTTCAAAAAAATTGCGTATCGCAATCTTCTACCCATTTCTATTAAAAAACCACTTTTACCCCTTACTTTTTCAAACCCTACCTATCACATCATATCTTTTTCCTAATAATTTACATATCACATCCTACTTTTACCCATCACATCAAGGGTATTTTTGGAAAGTCAACACAAAATTATCCCTCCCTTAATTTTAATTTTAGTCAAAACGTGTAAATCTTTTTGGGACGGAGGGAGTATGAGCTAACTTTAGATTTATTGTGGTTTTTTTGTAGATGACAATGGTAATGATGATTCCCAGTCCTCATGGATTCCTACTTTAGAACGCCTCCGCCGAAACCTATTTGGTGATTGGCGGATCTCTGGGGTGGGCTCCTCAAGGGCGGACTCCTCTGACGCGGGTTCCTCTCGGGTTCCTATTTTGTCGCCCTCTTTGTCATTGGGAGCATTGAACAGTTCGCGGAGGTCATCCACTCCACTTACGGAGACATCAGCTACTACTGGTACTTCTAACTTATTTATTTTTTCTAGGTTTTGTAGATGAATACATCATTTTTGTGTTATTGGCTTAAGGAGAAATCATTTTCGCAGGGGCTCGGATGCTTGAGGAGGAGCATCGTGAGGAGGATCAACATGAGGAAGAGCATAATGAGGAGGGGGTTGATGAGGCCAACCAGCATGAGGATGACCAACTCGAGGGCAATAAATACGTTTACGTGAATTTGGATGACGAGTACGTGATCATGATAACATTATTAATTATGATTCAATGCTTTTGTTTCTAATACTTTATTGATGTAATGAATTATAAATATAACTATGTGTTCAGCATTGTCATCACACGAGATGGTGCTGCGAAAATCACGCTCGCATTCTCCCTGAAGACAGACCCGGCAGGAAAGACATGGAAAGACGTCTCACATTCTTACCGAGATTTTTATTATTGGGAGTTCAAGGTTTTTTTATGTTTTATATATGCTTAAGATGTGGATCTAAATTACTGGTACATAATGTATTTACAAAATCATTATTTTCTTATGGTTTGAATGTAGAAAAGGGTTAAATGGAATCCGACGATAGATGAGGAGAAGATGAAGGATGTGTTTTTTAGCAGGGCTGCAGGTTTGTACAGTGGATACATGTACAATCAGAGGACGGACGGTTGGCTGAAAAAGAAGATGGTGGAAGTGGCTACTTTAGAGAGCCTGAAGGAGGTAAATTTGTAATATATAAAATAAAAACCTTAATTTTCTAAAAAAGTGGTTAACTATCTAATGTAAATGTCAATAGGGTTGGAGCGGTCCGGAATTTCAGGAAACGAGCAAGAGAAAGAAGAAGAATAGGCGCAGGGGTAAAGAGGATGGTCCTGCGCTTGGGACGTACACTGGAGGGACGATTCCGTTTTCTGAGAATTATAATCGACTGGTAAAATATTTAGCAAAAAATAAAGAGACACCTATTTGTATACATTGAATATAATGTTTAATATATATATGATTTTAATATCATAGGCTGCAAAGAAAGGAGCGCCTATCTCGGTGGAAGAAGTCATCGTCCATACAAAGACAAAGAAGCATGATGGGCAGACATGGGTTGATCCGATCGATGCTGATCTTGGGTAAGTGTCATTTCAATGCTTCTTGAAGTTTTTATTGGTGATGAAATTATTAAAGTTCTTGAAGTTTTTATTTAGTCTTGTTATTGATAATTGGTGATGATTTAGTTCGTAGCTTATTGGAGATGCAGATGTTTTTATTGATATAGTAGCTTATTGTTCGTGATGTTGTTAGTAGCTTGTTGGAGATGTTGTTAGTACTGATGATTTTAGTCTCATTGGTCTATGATCTTGTTATTATTGTTTTTATTTATGTTCTTGTTATTGTTCTTGATGTTGCTAGTATGTAGCTCTTGGGTAAAGTTGTTGAGGAATAAATTGTTATTATTATTCTTGGTGTTTGTGTTGTAGTGTAATTATTGTTTTTGTTCATATTGTTGTTGTTTGTGGTGTTATTATATAACTAGTTGGATGATCTTGTTGTGTTTTTGTAGGCTTGATTTAATACTCTTCGTGATGAGGCTATAAAGAATGGACTTGATGTCACCGATGACGAAATTTGGTACTCACTAGTCCAGGGCCACACATCGCCGCTCTAGATCTTCTGCGACCAAGAAAAGTGAAATGGAGATCCTGAAAGAATAGAACAGACGCCTCCAAGAACAATTTGAAGTCCTAGCCTCGAAGTTCACAACAATCCAAGAAGATCTAAAAAAGTTGCATGGTAATAACAACCCTCCTCGAGATGATGACGGAGCGGGGGGGTCAGGGCAAGCAGAGGCTGTTTGTTAGAATGTTTGAATGCCAAAACTTTGACTTTAATGGGTTTTATGGATGAATAACATTAACTTAAACGTTTGTATTTGTTCTACTTTACGATGTGGAATTCGTTATATTTAAAATTTGATTGTGATTTTATTGAGGATGTGTTCTTTGTTGTTCTACCCCATATGAACTCCCCTCACCAGTGAATGGTATTTTACCATATCTGTTTTTTAAAAGCTGCTGTGCAGGGGACAAACCAGGTTCTGGTTGGTTATAAGCAAGATATTTACGACAGAACAGCGACGGACCTCATTCCCGTCGCAGATTTTACCCACATTGCATTGTGAAGCAGTTGTCGCAATTTCTGTCGCAGATTTGCGACGGATTCTCTTTCCGTCGCAGAGGGTCGCATTTTTTCGCAAATTTACCAAACCGGTTCCCGTCGCAGCTTCCGTCGCTACGTCTGCGACGAAACCACGTTTCCGTCGCAGATTTTGGCCGGGCGACGACAAATCTGCGACGGACGTCTTTGGTCGCAAAGTTGTCGCTAAAATGGGATCTGCTACGGATTTAAAATATTTGCGATGGAATTTTCTTGTCGCAGAAATGACAGATTCTTATAGTGTTAATAATGACTAGTGAGAATAATAATGTCCAATTGGTACTTGACATTTAGTTGAATAATGACTAATAGATAATGATCAATGGTCCTACATTGGGAAATAAAAATATATGGTCCTATATTGAGAAAGTCATTATGTTTTAGTTCTATTTAGGTAAATTACCCTTTCTCTATTCCCGTCAAAATGTTTTACTCTATGGTGATTTTGATTTTTTTAATTTTTAAAACGAAAAGTCTTGCAGCACGCTTTAAACGTTAATTTCTACAATCTTTTGAATTTTCCAGCACAAATTTTTAGATAAAAAATAAGTAAAACAATTGTCTANGGCTGGGGCATGGGAAAGAGGAAGAGAAAAAAGGGAGGAAAGGGTGGGGTCAAAATAAAAAAATTTAAATTTATAAAATTATAATTTGACCCCAAATGACCTGGAGGTGACCTAGAAACCGCCTATTGGACCACCGGTGAAAGAATGTTGAAAGTTCATGTACTTTTGTGATAGAAATTAAAGTTTATATACCGAAGTGAAATAATGATGAAAGTTCGTATACCATGTGTGAAATATAATTCACCCCAAATGCAAGTGATAGTATGAACTTAAATATTCTTGAAATAAATATCATAACCCGTTGAATCGACCTGACACTAACATAATCCGAATCAGAAGTAATCGAACCCAAACCTGACCTAACCGGTTAATTTGCCAGCTCTAGGGGCACCATTTGTTGGGGGTTTGAAGGCAACGCCCCTGTTTTTTAATAAGCAATAAGAAATGAAAAAAACATATGTATTCCAAATATTTATTGAATTTGAAACTTTTTTAATAGACAATGTGAACTTTTATTTTGTAAACAATTAATTATATGCAATAAAATATCCTTTACTAAAAAACTAAATAGAAATATTGAAATTTGGCTAACTAGATGGGGTCTTTTTAATTTTAATTTTTTAGGAGCACATATATATTAAGCTACTCCCTCCGTTCTCAAAAACACCTCCTCTTTCATTTTTTTTTCATTTCCAACAAAACACTTCCCCTTTCTATTAAAAAACCACTTTTACCCTTAGTTTTTCATACCCTGTCTATCACATCATACCTTTTCTCTAATAATATATCCATCACATCTTACTTTTACCATTACATCATGGTCAAAATTGAAAGTCAAATATAATTTTACACTTCCTTATTTTGCCTTATAGTCAAAGTGGGAAGACTTTTTCCAAACGGAGGGAGGAATTTTTTTTACCCTACAACATGAATTTAGTAGGGGGCATTAGCCCCGGACGTTGACCATAGTTTTAAAAACTGGACCAGACCGGCCGGTTCGGACTGGGAACCGGCGAACCGGAGGTCGAGCCGGTCCGGTCCGGCCCTTTGGACCGCTTCGCGCATCAACCAGTTCAAACCGGTGTGAACCGGACGGTTCACCCGGTCGAACCAGTTTTTTTTTTCCAAATTTGGCCAAAATGTTTACTCCTCCACATATTCGAACCCTTAACCTATTGATTGTTATCCAAAGCTATCAACCAACCAAGCAAGAACGTTTTTTGATACATGTTGGTTCTAAGTAGTATATATTCCCTTAATTAAAAGAGTAAATATGAATTAAAAGATTTCTTTATTTCTTAAACTAAGATTCTTAACATTTAAAAATAGAAATAATTCTAATACGGAGTACGTGTCACGAATTTTTTTTTTTTTAATATTTTTGGATATTAGGCAAAATATATAAAGAAAAATAAAATATCATTATTTTATAAAACTTTTAATGTATTTTTTGATACGTAGAATTTATTTTAAATATAAATTGACTAACAAAATAAGTTAGAGTAATTAAAATTTTAATCAAATATCATTAAATTTTATATACATATGAAAGAAGTTATTTTGATTTTATACAAAATACGTGTATGTGTGTGTGTGTATAATACGTTTTAAACCACTGGTTCGATCAATAAACCAGTGAACTAGTACCCGGACCGGTTCGATCCCCGGTCCAGTTTTTAAAACTATGACGTTGACGTAGAAAATATCAAGATCAGAAGAGACACCGACATAAATATTAAAATCATGAGAAATAAAAATGTGCAATTTTCAAACAAAAAATATATTGGTGCAATAAATTCCATCACATTATTCCAAAAAATGAAGGAAGCACCTCCTTAGAATTTCTTGCCAGGTGAAGTTGTGCAGTAAGAAATCCAATAAGTTCATCAGTTCTACCATCGGGGCTATTGTTATCAACAGCTCCCCACGATTTCATGCCACTTTCATTTTCTACGACATTTTGGTAAAACTCTTCCTCATACCTAAAAGTATACATTTTTCGCCGCTTAATTCATACATACATACATACACACACACACACACACACACACACACACACACACACACACACACACACACACACATAAAACGAGAGAAATGAGAATGAATCTGGTGCTTTAGATTGTGATATCTAAGGGTCAGAATTGCATCAAAATTAGGTGCACCACAATGGTTTGAAAATGGATCATGTCGAAATGCACCAAAATTCTATGAAAATGAACTATCTCAAAATCTGAGCGAAGGATGCAATCTGAGCTGCACGATAATATATATATATATATATATATATATATATATATATATATATATATATATATATATAACATCCAGACACACTACATATATATGTGTGAGTAGGTCGAATATAATATTTTACACTCCCTCTGTCTCAATTTTAGCTCACATGGTTAAAATTTGTAAATTTTAGTCTTTGATAGTCTTTGATATATAGAAAAAGTACATTGTGCTTTTGAAATATTAATTAAATGTTTAATAAAATATACTCCATCCGTCCCTGAAAACCTTTTTTTTTCTTTTTCATCTGTCCCAAATTTTTTTTCATTTCTGTTAGAAAGTTATTTTTACCTTTACCAATTTTTAACTTACCTATCACGTCATATATATTCCATATTAATCAATCTATACAAGGATTTTTTTGAAAATTCAACACCAAAATATACTCCTAAATCTCTTAAAAGTTAAAATCTCGCATGATTTCTAGGAAATTGAGAGTACTATGAATGTGTGTGTAAATATCATCATTAGTTAGAAAACCATGAAAAGAGAAATAAAAAGATTAAATTTGAATGAAGGGAGGAAGTAACACGCACTTGATAGGGAAGAAATCATCATGAAGCTTCTTAAGAACTTCTTTATCAGAGGGTTTTATCTCTCTTATAGTTATATTATTTATGTTAGGAACACAGGGTATGACTTCTTGCTCTGTGGATGCTGACATTTCCTGAAACAATATTAGGCTTATTAAGGATATGTTTGTTGAAAAAATAACATATGAGTTTCGATATCTTCAGATATTAGAATTTTTTTGGTCGTTTGGTGAAGCCAAAAAAGATATCGAATTAAATATCTCCAGATAACATAAATTTTTCAAATGCAGGGTTTCGATCTCATGAATTTGGGAGATATCAATATGGAGTTTGATATCTATCTGAATTGTGAATCATTATCCGTCGATCACGGGCTACCATTGTCACCCCAACCACCCTCGTTGCCAAGAACTCCAGCTTATCACTAATTAAATCATGATTTTAAATCTCTCCAAACAAATTTGTTTCAGATTTCAAAACTCATATCATTTATCCCACATTTGCGATCCGAGTACTATAAATAAAATATACTCCCTTCCTTAATATAATTAAAATAATTCTTCTTTCATTTTTTGTCTTTTACCAAAATACTTTATTTTATTAAAAAACTCACTTTTACTCCTACTAATTTCTATCCAACCAATCATATCATCTTTTCTTACTAAAAATCTACCCATAGCATCTTAATTTACCTAGCTATCACATCAAGAGTAAAATTGAAAATGTCAACTATAAATACATGTTTGGCATGACAGGTGCAAGACATCTCTTCTTTTTTTAAAAAAACTTTTTTAATTTTTTTGGTAAAAAAGAAGATTTTTTAAAAAAGAATACATCTAATTTTATGAAAA